GAGTTTTCCAGCGATCTCATTACAGCACGAAATATTGCAAAAACGCATGATCGCACGGGCCCGCCCAGTGCGCGTCACCAATGATTTTGCCAACCAAATAAGAAAATTCTGTTTTTGTACTGCTACTGATGGATTTTACTGCACAGCAACTTCCATGGCACTAAATTCATCAGGCTTTTGAGTCAAGCCAGCAGGCGCCTAACAAATGCAGACAGCCAGCATATTTAGCTGTAGAGTGGATTTTTCGGAATGGTCACTAGGTACGCGTTACTCTTTCGAAAGCCATTTATTTTTGTAATTCTTGCGCATTCCGCATTCTAGCATTCAAAGTCTTCCATCTGTTAGCAAAACAAGCAGTTAATTGGATTTTATTTTCTTTTCTGTTCACGATGGCCTCTCTTGCCCAAGTGGACTTTTGATTGTCTGCAAATTCATGAGTATTCAGCATTATTTTCTCCTTGCCTTTTCCGCTATAGTTTGCATTCGTCAGTGATCGCGTTTTGCAACTCACTGCGTTAACGCGATAGTACTGAAGAAGCATGAACGGTGCCTTCGATCCAATACTTTCAAAAAACTGACATTCTGAGATTTTTCAGCAGCTGTTCAACCTGGATTTCCCAGTTATGTTAATGCGTATTTGCTTCCAGAAGTGAAAGCACACTACCCAATCTATAAGACGTCTGCAGGTCTGCATTAAAGAAATATGATTAACAAGTGAAATAAATTATTACTTGAAGATGCAATCCAAGAAATCCGCAAAGGGAGTCATTTTCATGCTGTCTCGTTTTTTCAGAATCAGTGTAGCAACAAACAAATTTTCATTCATCGTCGTTGTGCTAATACACAAATGTCACAGCAACACAAATGTCAAATACTTTTAGGCATCCACATAACTGATGAAATGCAACCCAGGCTGGAGTGCACCAGGCTCTCCGGTGCGATCATGCGTTTTTAAGCAGATCGCTATTAGCAGGAATGATTCCTACGCTGTAGCCTAACAGTTTGGCTAATATTGGCCGCGCTTTGGCCCCTTCCGGCATGCAGGAGGAAGGGCATCAGTTGCGATGAAGGTGGTGCATTATGCAGCCGCACGGACATCCAGGTGCATGATTACCGGTTTTTTGCATGAAGTCCGGTCGTTTTTAATCGGTAATTGCTCGCTTTGTGAAAAAATGACAAATGCAAATTTTTTGAAAAAACGTAAATTTCCAGTTCACTAAAAAGTGGGAGTATTGCTCGAGCTGGGGAGCTAGAGAGCTGAGTTTAAAATTTGTACCTCGCACATGCATAGAGGATATCCCTGCAAAGTTTCAGCTTTCTACGTTGCCTGGCTCGCGAAATCGTTTCCAGCCGAGGGTCGCTTACGCGGGGTCTAGGCGCGTATGGGGAAACATCTTAAAACGGGAGGATGACAA